CCCTCAGGGCCCCAGGAGCCAAGCCAGAGCTTCTCCAAGCCCAGGCCACACTGCCTTCAGTGCCCAAGGAAGCGGGAAGGGAGCCTTTTGCTCATGCCTCATCACTGGCTGAGGTGGTGCCCGGGAAGCGGTGCAGTGGGTTTTACAAAAGAAGGTTCTAGAAGCATCTTTCCCACAACGGGAGGTAATGTCGCTGCTGCTGTCAGCTGGCTCTTCACTCTCCAGCTCTTCACTCTCCAGACAGGGAATTCCAGAGCTGTTTCTCTTGCCCGGAGACTGAGGGCCGAGCCTGAGGCTCAGGAGGACCCGCAATGCCCCGCTCTCCCTGTCACTCCTTCCTGCTGGCAGGAGCCCCGCCTGCTTGGATGTGGGCTCCGCTTTGCCTGGCAGGGAGAGATGACCTAGACCTCGACCTAGACAGCACCTTCGTGCTCATCACCACCAAGATCTCACGGCTCTGGGCTACGCCTCCCTGCCCTGTGCAGCTGCCTGGTCCTGAGGGTCCTGAGGGTCCTGAGGGACTCAGTTTCCTATAGAGTACTGCTTGCTACATTGCTCCGGTTGGGTACAAACGCCAAGGCACAATGGTCCAGCTGAGGCTGGTCTAACCCTCCCCCTACCCCGGCCTGGGACCACTGTGAGTCCCGGGGTCCAGACTGACTTATTTGTTCTAATAAAAAGTGACCACTGAGGAGCTCACCAGACCCATGGTGATGCCACTGTCCCATGCTAGGCACAGAAAAGGAGATACCTTTCGCCTGTCACTTTGTCACAGACCGCTTTGCTGTGCTCCTTATGGCCTCTGGCCAGAGATCACCAGGTGACATCTGACAGCCTGGATTCAGTCCTCCCTGTCCACAGTGCCACCCACTGCAGTGCTGCAATCTGTCTGTTTTGTTTGTTTGGTACTGGAGATCGAACTGCTGACCTTACAACCCCACGCTTGCTAGGCCAGATGCTTATGCCACTGTGCTAAATCCCCAACCCCTGTTTTGGTTTTTTGAGACAGGGTCTCACTACATAGTTCAGGCTGGCCTCAAAACCTCGGAGATCCTCCTGCCTCAGCCTTCTGAATGTCTGGATTATAGGCATGCACCACCGTATCCAGCTCTGCATTGTGTCTGCACTGACCTCACCTCCTAGAGAGTCTTCTCCCTTTTCATCCTGGAACTTAAATCTTATCATTTGCTCTAGGATATGTGATTTGAGTGTTGAGAGAATTGAGTGTTACAGCAAAAGAAACCACCAACACAGTGAAGAGACAACCTTCTTTGCCTGCTGTTCCTCAGACAAACAGCTAATATCTAGAATATATAAAGAATTCAAAAAAATCAGCCTCGCATTTAAAGATCCAATCCCCAAATGGGCAACTTTAAATGAACAGAGACTTCAAACATATGAAAAAATGTTCAGTATCACCGGTCACTCCAAAGAGGCAAATTAAAACAACACCGAGGTTCCACCTCACCCCAGAAAGAATGGCTGGTATCAAAAATCAACCAATAACAAATGCTGGAGAAAACTGTGGATGGGAGTGTAGACTTTTGTAAGCACTGTGGAAACCAGTGTGGGGATTCCTCAAAAAACTAAAACTAAAAGTTTCATTTAACCAACTACTTTTCTTCTTGGTTGGTTCTTCCCAAAAGAATTAAGAACACCATACCACAGCAAAATATGCACACCTCTGTTCATAGCAGCACAGTAATAGCAGCTAAATCTTAGTAACTGCCCAAATGTTCATCAACCAATGAATGGATAAAGATGTGGGTTTTTATATAATGTAGTACTACTCTGCCATAAAAAAAGGATAAGCTTGAGACATTTCTAGGAAAATGGATACACCTTGAGTCCATGCTTTTAAGAGAAAGAAACTGGACACATATGTGCAAATACCACATTGTTTTTCTGGTGTGAGAAAATGAAAGTATAAAAAAGACCAAAATGTATGCTGTTGGGAAATGGGAAGAAAATGCTCAAATGAGAAAGAGAACAAGGGGCCAGGAGCAGTGGGGGGAGGGGAAGGGACGAGAGAAAAAAATAGAAGGAAAATTATAAAAACAAAGCTGTTGTGACTCAGGAGGGGAAGAGGGCGGCAGAGAGGGGAGGGCAGTGGGGAAAACACCAGCAAGATTCCTGAGGGAAAGGTCCAGATCTCCCGGGACAAATGTGACCTGTACGTGTGTAAAATGTACTGGTATAAAACAAATTTTAAGAAAAGAACAAAACCTAAATAAATGACACCTGGGCACCGATTGCTTAAATGAAAGAAAGAAAAAAAAAGACCAAGTGTCAGATGTGACTGAGCCAGGAATGGAGTCCAAGTCTGGGTGAGGCACAGCCGGGGGGACGTGGCTGCTGGGTCCACGGTGGTGGACTCAGACCTGGCGGAAAGGCCCTGCCTGTCTGTGCATTCATGGACACTACTGATGCCGTCACTCAGGGACACGAGAGGACATCACGGCCTGCGGAGCTCAGCTGGGCCCAGGTCCGGCAGCCAGTGTCACTGATCGCTCTTCTCAGAGCCAGGCACTCACGGAGCCACCAAACACAGCCCAGGTATCAAAGGCCCCATACCAGGGCACTCCCTTTGGGGTGCGGTAGGCTGGCTGCAGTGGACCCCCCACCCCAGGCAGTTACAGCCACCTCTGGAAAGCTGTGTCCCGACCCCGCACCCAGGCAAGGGCAGCCGCCAGCCAGGCCCGAGGAGGACGAGGAGCCACTTCCAGCACAGATGGAGCCGGGGCTGCGGAAGCTGCCACTCTGCACAGGCAAGAGGGGTGCACTGGGAGTCTGAGGCAGGAAAATCTCAAGCTCAAGTCCAAACTGGACAACTTAGTGGCTTAGCAAGGCCCTGTCTCAAGAAACAAAAGAGCGGAGGACATAGCTCAGTGTGAAGGGGTTTCATCCTTAATTGCCGCTGCTACTGATGACAACAAAAAGCACTGAAGTGAAGAAAAGGAGCCAGTTTAAAAAACACTATGAAGTGCCATTACAGGTGCCACACGTCAGTGCAGTTTTGGTGAACTGTCATGAGACGATGGGCTGTTTGCCGTGGCATAGAACCCTTTTATCTCACACCCAGCACTGTGCCCCATGTTCCAGAGTTTTTTCAGCCACCCCCAAACCTAATGAGAAGTTTTCAGTTAGCTGTAATTGTGCCCTGGGTAAACCTCACTGGCCACCATAATGCAGCTGCGCAAAGCACTGAACCTAGGGAGAGCTGTGCCGTTATTGCTGCCATGGTTTTGGAGACAGGTTCTTGCTGGGTAGTTCAAGCTTCTCCTGAACTCACTACAGAGCCCAGAATGATCCCGAACTCTCTGTGATCTTTCTGCCTCAGCCTCCCAGGTGCCAGGATTACAAATTGTGTCACCATGCCCAGTCATCCTCTCCATTTAAGAGTTAAAGAGTTAACAGTCCTGCCCCAATCCCCGAGTTTCTGGATGCTAAGGGGCTTTGGGCCCCGGCCCAGGTGTGGTCATAGTCACCATCTCAATGTTGCCCCCCCCCCCCCGCCAAAGCCTCAGGTGCTCACAGGTGCAGCTTTGGGGAGGTAAGTGGATCATACAGTGTGCAAGATTCCTCTGCTGATGACTTTATAGTCAAGTGTGATGTTGGGGGTGGAGCCTGATGGTCACTGGGGGCGTGGCCTGGGAGAGTGTCCCTCCTCCTCCCTTGATCCCTCTCTCTGCTTCCTGCCACCTGGCCATGGGCAGCTCTCCTCTGCCATGCCACCCTGGCTTGGAGCCAGCAGACTATGGACCGAAACCTTTACAAACTGAGCCAAAATAAACCTATCCTCCTTTAACTCGTAGGTGTTAGTATTATTTCCCAGTGAAGATAAAGTAACTAGGACACAGGCTCACCAGCCACGGGCCCTGCTGCAGGGAACCTCGGGAAGGGAACATGAGGGCAGTGCATTCCTCATGCCTTCAGCGTCTCTGTCCCCCAGCAGCAGCCCTGAACCTCTGTGGGCCCTTCACTGACCCCCTGGGAAGGGTGGTTGCTGTCCCCACTAGGGATGAGTCCGACTGTCAGGCCATCTAGCACCCAGCCCTCTGGTAACGCTGTCAGGGGCTGGAGGCTGTCGGCTCTAACTCCAAGCCAGCACCTTTCCAACAACTTCAGCAGCAGGCCTGAGCCCCACAGGCCACCAGCTCCGTCCTGCAGCACCATGTCACTGCCAAAGAGCTCGAATGAGCAGATGCTGTGACATTCCCTAGTCCCAGACAGGAAAACGGAGGCTGTTAACTGCTGTGGAATTCCTGAGGCCGAGGGTGCCCCAAGTTCTACTTCACAAGTGCCCTGAGAGAAGGCACAGGAAGCCTGGGGAGGATGCTGAGCTCTTGCTGGAGTTATTTTCTGGGTTCAGCTCTTGAGAGAGTTGAGCATTTACTCCTAGCAGGCTAGACGGTGGCCATTCTCTGCCCACTCCCGGGAGCCGTGGAGGCCAAGAGGGGAGTGGAGCTGCTTTTTACACAAAGACCTGCACTCCTGCCGCAGCCAAGGACAGACAGACTCACAGGGAGCTAAAGCCGAGGCCTCAAGCCTCTTGTGAGAGCAGCTGTGGGGTGCAGCTCACATTTAGGGTCACCTGGGATCAGGCTGAGGCCTCATCCTCTCCTTGTTCCAGTGCACCTAATCCTTGCTTCAGGCTCTGCTGCAGAGAGTCTGGTTGAGGTTGGGGAGGGCTGAACCTGGCAGGGCGAGGGTAGGCAATGCCCTCAGGGATCCTGCAGCATAGCTAGGAAGTCAGATCACTCGCACACCACGAAGAAGTATGGAGAACATAGTGACAGAGACAGGAGGAAGACAGAGAGGGTGGGGAAGGAGTATCTGCCCCAAGTCCTTGCACACCCACTGGTCTGTCTAGTACCCACTTCCTCTCAGGGAAAGAGGAGCATGGGAGAAGTCAGGGTTCTGTCCCCGTGCCCTGACCGTGGACCCAGCCCACCTGCAGAGACTTCTGTGCTCAGAAAAGGGACAAGGGCCCTTCCTACCTGCTGGGTGTGAGTCTGGGCTTCCTCACCAGGCTTCAGTGATGTAGTAGGCAACCCCCAGGGCCCCCAGGGCCACAGCAACAGTTCCGAGGGCTGGCAGTACGTGAGTTACGAGAAGTGCAGTGTTTTCTGGGAGATTTTCTGTAGAGCAAGCAGGAAGGGGTTTAAGGAAGAGGACTTTGCAGCAGGGAGAAAGTAGAAATTATGCGGTTCCCCCTGACCCTGTTCTTGAGGGAATCTTATTCTCCTACTCCTTCCAATAAATCCCCACCCCCTGGGACATCAGCTACCCTGGTGTCTGGAGGAAGAACAGGTCTTGAGGGGGTCATGGCTGCAGTGCACCGTTCCTATGTGGGACACCTTACTCTGGGAGTCACTCAGCCCTCACAGCCACGCTGGAGGTGGGTTCTGTCATCTGACTCCTGTGTGTGTGTGTGTGTGTGTGTGTGTGTGTGTGCGCGCGCGCGTTCTTTTCTTTTTCCTTTTTTTGGGGGGTGGGGCTGGGGGAGAAAGGCAGACGGAGTCTTGCTGTGTAGTCCAGGCTGGCCTGGAACTCACTATGTAGCCTAGGCTGGCCTCAAACACTTGTGATCCTCTTGCCTCAGCCTCCCAAGTGCTGGGATGGAGGTGCACATGTGTACACTACCATCAATTTTAGAGCTAAGGAAGCCCGGGAAATAATATACACCACCTGTTAGAAAGGCAGGAAAAAATACCCTATCACACCAGCAGTACCGGGAGGGCATTCCAAAAATGCAGCCCTCCTGCTAGAAATGCTACCAAGGTAGGAACTCTCATGGAATGTGAATGTGAATCTTAAGCCGAGAGCCCGGATTTCATCTCGTGCCGACCCCAAGCCTCATTTCCACCTTTCCTTGGCCTCCTCGGCTCTTCCTTTTTAGTGTAAGCCACAGAGGATCCCAGGGCTCTCTGAAGCTCAGCTCACTTCGAGGGAACCCCAAGGTGTCCAGCTAGATCCCAAGCTCTGTCTTGTTCTGAAACTCCCAGGACCTCCCTAGACACGGCGCTCCCTGCCTTGTGTCCTGGCCTCTGAGTGCCCAGGACGTGACTCGCCGGGCAGCTGCACATGGTTCAGGGTATCCTAGAACCTGCACACAGTCACACTGGGCCTGCAGCCCCAGCATCCCCTCAGGAGGCCAGCAGCAGACCTGGCATTGCTCCTGGAAGCTCTTTACACAAGGACAAGTGAACAAGACTGCAGGTGACACAGCGGGGGCAGGAAGGGTGCCATCCACAGAGCAGCCTGGGCCGGGCGGCCCTGGTAGAGACCCCAGGAACAGTCGGACCAAGTGGCAGAGGCCTTGCTGTTACCTGGAGGGGGCTCATGAGTCATTATCCGTTCTTATCACTAAATTCTAGGAAATTCCCAGGTGGGTGCAGAAACTGAAGCTCCCACAGTTCCAGAGTCCCATGGAATTGTTGAAGGAGGCAACTTCTTTGTCTTTTGGTTTTTGTTTTGGTACTAAGGATTGAAGCCGGGCAGACATCCCCAGCCCTTTAAAAGAACTTTTGTTTTTGTTTTTAAATTTTATGACAGGGTTTTGCTAAATCACTAAGTTGCCCAGGCTGGGTTTGAACTTGCCATCCTCCTGCCTCAGCCTCCAGATTACAGGTGTGCAACACCACACCAGCTGGGATTACAGATGTGCAACACCATGCCCAGGCAGGGAGTGTGTCCTGAGGAAGGGAGAGATTCTATAGGGAAAGAAAAATGGAACTGCTGAGAAGCAGGTCCCAGAAAGGAAGGATACAGACACCCCTCTGTCACTGTGGGTGAGTCCCCAGATGCAGCTAAGTGGCAACTTGCAGGGAAGCCTTTCCTTTCAGCCTGTCACTCCCAGAGGAAGCTACTCCAGACTGCTCCCAAGGGCTGGGGACAGAGCCTGGCCCTGTGAACCTCGGGCCCCAGGCACCAGCCCCCCATGTGCCCGGGAACCTGTAGAAGGTGAGCAGGCTGGGGAGTCCTCTCCCTGGCACGACCTGCCAGTCCCGAGGCAGGAGGACATCGAAGATACGGTTGTGGCAAAGCCCCAGACGCCGCCAGCAAGTGGAGCTGCCTGGGCAGGCGGCCCAGGAGCAGGGCTGCAGGGCAACGGAGATCACAGGTCCTGGTGGACAGAGAAGGGGGCTGATGAGGGAGCTGAGGGACAGATAGGACGACAGTACTGAAAGGCTCCCTAACCTCCAAGCTGTGGACATACATGTGGCAGCAACAGGGTCACCATGGAAACCCAGAGCAACTAAAGGCAGCCTCCTACTGCTAGGCAGGAGGATTTCTGGCTGGGTAACTTCTGCTGTACCCATCCAGCCAGACCTGGCTGGGGAGGAGGAGCATCTGCAAACTCCACCCGTCCCTCCTGGCATGGGGAAGGGAGGGTTTCCAAAGGCAGTACTCTTGTTTCACTACTTTTTGGTTCAAAACATTATAGCTGATAATTCCCAGACCACAACATTTCCTCACTCAGGAGTGCTGAGTGGCTTTTACTTGTGTTTTACTCATAAAGTTCTATGATCACCACCACCGCCTAATTTTGGGACATTTTCATTTCTTAAGAAAAGAAATCATATCCATCCTAGCATTTGCTCCCTGGATCCTCCTCCACCAAGTTCCTGGCAAAAAACCTTCTTGGCCTGGGCATTTCAGATGCAAGTGCATGAACTCACATTGGTGGGAGCCCAGCTTCTTTCATTCACCCTAATGTCTCTGGGATTCATCACCTCATGTCTTAGGGCTCATCACCCTTTTCATTGTCAGTATTTCACTGCATTCACTGTGTTGTGCTGCTTTTCTACCAGATTTTGTTTATCCATCATCAGTTGATGGTGCATCAAAAGTTGATGTTTCCACTTTTCGGTGATTGTGAATAATGCTGCTATGAACTTTCTTGTCAAGTTTTTGCAGGGACTGGAGGTTTTTTCATTTGTTTGTTGCTGTTGTTTTGAGATAAGGTGTCACTGTGTTGTTCAGGCTGTCCCTGAATTCACTTCGTAGCCCAGGCTGGTCTTGAACTCACAAGGTCATTCGCTGCCTTGACCTCCAGAGTGCTAGGGTTACAGGGGTGCGCCACCATGCCTGGCCTGAGACTGCAGTGTTTAAGTCTCTTGGGTCCATGCTCAAGAGTGGGATTGCTAAATCATAACACTTTTTGGTCTTTTGAGACAGGGTCTTGCTATGTAGTGCAGGCTGGCCTTGAACTTGAGGTGATCCTCCTGCCTCACCCCCCAAATGCTGGAACTACAGGTATGTACACCATACCTGGCAGCAACTCTTGAACTTTTTGAGGAACTGCCAGTTTTCCACTGCAGCTGCACCATTTTACACCATTTCCAGTTTCTCCACGTCTTCAACAATATTTGTGACTATATAGCTTTTTCATTTTGTTTTTGTGGTACTCAGTATTGAACCTAGGACTTCGCATAGGCTCTCTAACATTGAGGCCCATCCTAGCCCATCTTGAGACAGGATGTTGTTAGGTCATGCAGACCGGACTTGAACTTGTGATCCTCCTGCCTCAGCCTCTGAGTATCTGGTTTTACAGGTGTGCACCACTGTCCCTAGTGCTACTGTCCATTTTTTTAATTACAGTCATCCTAGAGGGAGACTTTGTTTCAGCTACTGTATTTTGCAAACAGCCTTGATTTTAGAAATTACTTCCTTTATTTAAAGGTCTTCATCTTGTATCTTCAACATTCCTTCCCATGCTGGCTCGTAGGAGGACAATTCCTCCAGAAGTGTAGGTGTCTACCACGGGTACCACCAAGCCACCAGGGAATCCTGCTTGGTCTCCTCTCCGGGACGAGTCCTGTGCTGTTTTTACAAGATCGGGAATGGAAAGTTTTGCTTCCTACAATCCCAGTTCCAAAGAGCACGGAGCAGAAATGCTTCTCTGTGGCCGATGCTCCCAGTACACTCAGCACCTCTCATGGCTCTCAGACCCTCAGCGTTGGGCGGGGGCTGGATTCTCAGCCACTGGACCCCGTTGTCATGGCAACCCTGGGGTTACTCTCTTCTGTTCTGTGCTTTCATCATCCCAGAGGGCACATCGGCTGAGCTGTGGTTCAGGATACGGACTCTAGAGTGCTATCGGGGCTGCTCTACAAAGAGTGATTTGACTCCTGTGAGCCTCAGTTTCTCCATCTATAAAATGGGACATGAATGGTCCCTTCCCTCTCAGGTCATCCGATGAGAAGATGAACTCTAAGGCTGGGTACAGTAAGCAGGGAGTGGGCATCGTGATGGTGAGCTTTAGCATGATACCACCTGCTCCCTGATGCCACCTGAGTCCCCATCACAGGATCTAGTGCTAATCAGCTACTCAATGTGATGGGACTGCTTTTCCCAGACAGCCCTGACCTTGTGGGGAAGATGTGAGTCCTGGGAAGCTGTTTACATTGAGCAGAAATCTGTTTCTAGAATCGCCTGCAGATCGCCAATTAAGCAAATAAAAATGCAGGATGGCCATGCGACATCTAGGACCTATGAACTAAAAACTTACGTGTCTGAAATCAAAGACAAGCTGGGAAGCCTGTTTGTACCTGGCCACCATCTCCATGGACCTTAGACCCCTGGGGACAACAGCCAGACTTCTTCTAACTCCCTCCCAGGCCAGCTGGTTCTCAGCTCCCAGGCCCTGCGGGAAGAGCTTCTCTGGTCTCCTTGTTAGGTATCGTTTATTTATAGCCTTGACGAGGTCAGAGTCAGGCAGTGCTGCCCTTTCCTTCATTTTAAACAAGATATTTTGTTACTGCATCCTCGGTTTTAATGTTTCAGCATCCACACCAACTTCTAATGAGCTGGCGTCGTTACAGAGCTGAGACGAAGGATAACATGTGTTGGCGGTCTTCAGTGACACTCGGGATGCCGAGGAACACAAAACCCAGGAATCCGGGTCTTTTGGGTCAAAACGAAAAGAACACCTTGCAGGCTTCACCAGCACAGCTCAAGAACACAAGCTAACCCACACCCCAGCCACCGAGGGACTCGCCCCTGGAGACAGGCAAGCGCACCTGCTTTCCTGGGCGAAGAGGCCACATTGGGGCCGGGGCTGGGGCTGGAAAGGCTCGCAGTGGAGAGGCGGACCTCCGGCGCTGGGAGAGGCTGGGTTTCCTGCTGCGGTGGGCTGGGCTTGGGGCTCGGCTGCTGGGTGCTGGGAGGCTGGCCTGATTGTGGCTGGCTGGGTGTGCTGGATTCAGAGCTGGGCTGCGTGACCTCGGAGCTGGGCTGTGTGCTCGAGTCTGAACTAGTCTGCTGGGACAGGGACTCCCGGCGGTGCCGGGCCTCTGCCTTGGCCTTTTTCTTCTTGACCTTCTTCATGGTGGGGCCACCCGATTAAATATGGGCCCCCATGGAGATGCCTGGTCCCAGGCTCCCTCCCAGCGGGGCCCTGGCTCTGGCCTCTGCCTTGACCCGGGTCCCCCAGGGCACGGTCATCCACGCCTCCTGTGAGGTCACAGAAGCCAGGGTGGTTCCCATGGTCGGGGCTCTGGGAAGGTTCTCCGGAGGCTACCTCTTGTGGTCCTTCCTCCTCCCAAGCTGCCAGGATGGCAGAAGATGAGAATCACCCTGCCCCTTGCGGGCCAGGCTAAGCCTGTCAGGGGAACATATGACAACTGGGTCCCACGATTCTGCCACCTGGGCGCCACTGTCAGGTAGCTCTCTACTGTGCTGCTGGGACTCCTTGGACTTCCTCTTTACTGTAAGGTGTCCAGGCTGGTACACACAGCTCTGACACTGGTTCTCAGATACAGGAAGTCCAGGCCTTCAGGAAGGTGCAGGTAACCTTCCTGAAGATTTGGGCTGCTCTGAGCACCTCACAGCCCACAGCCCAAAGCCCTTTCTGTCTCCAAGTAGCTCTTCCTTCCTCCAAAGCTGGCGTCCTTCCCACCTGTGCCTTCGCCACAGACATCTCCATTACAACCCTCCAGCTGCTCAGGAAACACAATTATCTCAGACTCACCCCACTGGCAAAACAGATGATGACCTCTGAAACCCACCCTGGTCAGGTCAGACTATGCAGCTTTCTCTAAATCAGTACCTTGGTTTCCATTTCAAGATGGAAGAAGAAAAGGTATTTTACCAAGACTAAACTTCACATTTCGCAACATAAAATGCATTCCCAAGGAGAGATAAAGCCTTCAATCCAAGTATGTCCAGGTGCAGGTGAGCTGTCAACTCTGCCCCACACCCTGCAGCCTGCTGGAGGGTAAACCCTATCCAGGACAAAATTTGGGGCACAGCCAGCTATATGAAAGGGTTCCCAGGGGTCCCCACACAATGCCAGACCCACTGTTGAACGTGAAATGACAGGACCTTTTTTAGGGCTTCTAGGTCCTGCAAAAAGTTTGATGATGATTTTTTTCCTTTTTGAGACAGGGTCTCAGTATGTAGTTCAGCTGGCCTTGAACTCATTATGTGGCACAGATTAGCCTGGAACTTGCAGTGACCTTCCTGCCTCAGCTTCCCCAGTGCTGAGATTACTGGTGTGTGCCACACTTGGCCATGGTAATCCTTTTCTGCAGAGAATACTGATGTTGGAGACATCAGTAAATTTTCTAAGGTCACACAACTGGTCGGGGCACAGACAAGAGTCAAGTTCCAGTCCAGGGCTCTTTCTTTTCATGATCCCAGAAGGCAAAGAGGGACTCAGTTGTAGAGAATTAAAAAATCCCTTGACTGGGAAGATGGAAGGCACCAAAGGTACGAAGGGTTAGGGTTAGGGTTAAGATCGGCAGTGAAGCATCAATGGTGCTGGATTCTGTTTGGCTGACCCTGGAGCAAGCAGTAAGAAATCGGAGGGGACGGGAGAATCTGTAAGAAAGGTTTTGCTCCAAGGTCAAGAGCAAGGGACGCCTAAAGGGGACTCCACTGGCTACTCAGGCCAGGGATCCCCTGGGATCAGGCTGACATGCCGAGACTCATCAGGCACTCACCTCTGCAAAACCAGCTATGTGCGAGTTCCACCAGCTTTACATCAGCGGCTCTCAGCCTCAGCCCTACCCACCTTTGGGCTGGTCAATTCCTTGTTGTGGATTGTCCTGTGTGTCATCTGAAGTTTAGCACCAACTTCGACCTTGATTCATTAACATCCCCCAACCCCATGTCAACCAAATATCTCCTGACATTGCTGTGTCCCAGGGCAGAGGTGGCAAACCCATGGCACATGTGCCGCAGCTGGCTGTTTGTATCATTGAAAGCTCTACAAGATTCCCCTTCCTTTCCAGGGGGAGGAGGGGATGTTAATATCGCCCCGAGTTGAGAACCACCGGTTTCAAAATGTCAGACGCTGGCAGAACTTCTGGGCAGACCTGAAAGAGATGCCCGGAAGTTTCCACTGAAGGAGAGAAATAGCGTGCAAACAGATCTCTGTTCCCAGGAGGCAGGAGGAGGAAACATCGAAGGTACTTCCTCAAAGCAGAAAGGGGCACTCTGGGGACAGAGGTTGTCCCAGGAGAATGCAGAATGCCACACAAGGGTTTTCCCCCAGAACGCCTTCCTCCTGCTGGTGAGTCCGTAATTTGATCACTGTACCAGGCTTAGTGACTGCCTGCATCCATCGTGCAGGGGTCTGGGGAATGCAGCTTATTTCCCCCATTACCCCCAGCTCTATCCGAATACTTCCCATGGTTCAGCTCCCTCTGGAGGAGACCCACCTCTCATAAGTGTTTCTATCGATCCCAGCCAGAAGCCAGTTTTGTTTTTGTGAGTCAGTTTGTACAACATTGATCACATTTGAACAGACACAAAAGTCTGACCCTGCATTCTCTCTTGTTCCCCAGTCCCAGAACATGGGGACCAGGGAGGGCCAGAGTCCAGCAGGGGCTCATTGCTAGCTGCCTGAGCTGAATGAGGGTGAAGGCAAGCTGGGTGGGGACAACAAGGACAAGGCACCTGAGAGGCTGCATGGCCAAGGGACTGGGTCTGCAGATGGCTGAGGATCACAGTTGGAAGAGCCCATAAGCAGGAGGCCTTCCTGACCAGGAGTGCTGACACCATGGGACTGCTGTAGAGGAGGACAGGAGGATGAGTGTCAGGAGGCTGGAAGATCAGAAGTCAGGACACATCCCCCAGCTGGGACTCCACCCCCAGGACTGGCTCGTGATTCCTTTCTAGACACCAGGAAGTCGCCTCACCCTTTTTCCTGGAGCTGGACAGCACTGGTCCTCCACCCTCAGCTGTCACATGGGATCAAGTTGCATATGGAGGACACTCGCTCTGGCACCAGGTAGAGGGGATAGAGCTTATTGCTGGGCTTTGGGCCCCACAGAGCTTATTGCTGGGCTTTGGGCCCCCAGCCTGACCACTCCCTACTCGTGCCTAGACGGGCTCCCCAGACAGATGGGCTCCCCAGACAGACGGGCTCAGTGCCCCCACTCCCCACTGCCACAGGCTGGATTCCTGGCTAGAAAGGTCTAGAGCACTGCTGGTGAGAACTCTGGAGGCTGAGGCAGGGGAACTGCAAGTTCAAGCCCAGCCTGGACAATTTGATGAGATACTGCCTCTAAAATAATAATAATAATAATAATAATAATAATAATAATAATAAACTTAAAAAGGGGCTTGGGAGGTAGCTCAGTGTGAGGAAGGCCTGGAGTTCAACCTCCAGCACCAAAGGGACAAAACTCTGCAGGAGGTCAGCGGCTCCAAGCACCAAACTTAGAGGGTCGCTGTGAGCACTGGACTGGAAGAGGCTTCCAACAGCGCCTGACCCGCAGCAGCAGGTTTGCACTGGGAGTTATTACTGGAGGAGACTGAAGAACCCAGGGAGGACTGGTCCACGTGAGAAGGAGGGGTGGTCCTTGTTCCTACGAAATCCCGATCAGGACTCTACTAAAAGCAGTTGGGGGTCGACACCCCAAGAGTGGGTGAAGAGTGGGAGGCGTGGCCCTCTGAATTGGGTTCCTCGGGACAACTAAGATCGTCCCAGTGAGCACACCGGGGGGCTAAGAGAGTGAGCTCATCTCTGCTCCAAATGGTACTCCAACCCCACAGGCCGCGAGGCCAGGTCGTGTCTGTTCCTGGGGAGTGAGAGGTAAGGGTCAGGGACAGGACTCAGGACGGCAGCCCACTGGGCCCTCGCGGCCGCAAGTTCCAGCCTGGCCTTCCGGTCCCTCACCATCTGTCTGGGTCTCGCGATCCACCTTGGGGACCCTGCGCGCCTGGCTGGCCGCGCGCTGCACGTCCAGGGTGCCCCAAGCGCGGCCGGGGCGGAACACAGCCGTGTGCACCTCCGCAGGAGGTATGTGCCCCGCAAAGATGCTGCAGAGCAGGCTCTCCAGGCGGTGGCGCGCCTCGGCCTCCTCCTCTGGTCGAGGCTGCATGACGATCCCGAGGAGCGCGGCGGGTGGGCGGCGGTGCCGGGCGCGCACCTTGGTCAGCAGCAGCTGCAACCGCGGTAGCTGCGTGCGGAGCGCGTGCGCGCCACACAGCACGAGGAGCAGCTGTGCGCCCCGCTCCGTTGAACCGGGGATTGCAGGTGGAGCTCCCGGCACCTGGTGCTTGCATGGGTTCGCAGGCTGGGGTTTGGGCTTCTTGCACTGCACCTTCTCCATAGAACGCTTGCGCTTGGCCGCGGGGCCGTCACAGCCTTTCGCCACGCTGTCGACTGGGCGCTTGAGTAGCCGCCTGGTGCATTCGCTGGAGCTGCTGGGAGAGATGGTGGCTTCGCTGGAAGAGGGTCCGCCTAAGTCCTGCAGGGTCTCACAGCACTCGGCCTGCTTCCAGTATCCGCCTATCAGCAGCACCTGACCGCGACCCTTGGCTGACCGGGTCAGAGTGTCCTGCTCCTCAGCGTCCTCCTGCTCCTCAGCGCACTCCTCCTGCGGGTCCCCCGAGGGCTGCTCCATGTCCAGCCTACTCCCTTGCCCCAATGGGCTCCGGCTTTGGTTGGCCGAGGGAAAAGCTGTCTTTCCTGGAGCATGTCACAATACCCTTGCGCCCTACCTCTCTTGTCCCGGTCAGTGGCCTCTGGTCCGCAACTTCTCGCAAATCTTCCAACAGAGGGAAGTTGCTATTGGACACTGGTGTAATTGACCCTGTTTCTTTTCTTCATAGTTTTCATGGGGGCAACTTCCAAAGGCACTGCCACTTATCCCCCACCATAGGCCTTTTTGGTCAAGCAAAACGGATTTGCATGCGCCCAGAGCATTTCAAAAGCAGTGAACCAAGGTGCCGTCTGCACCTGGAATTGAAACACAGCGGCCTTTCTGGGCAGTCGGGGCCTGGCAGGTAGGTCCTGTTCCATTTCAGTCTGCGGAGCTCTCTGGACCAGGAGCAGTGGCCCAGGGCCACTGATGGGTGTGCAGGAGGTGGATTTAGGTCTCCACAGTTCCAGTCTTCTGTGGGTGCCCAAGGCCTGCCAAAGAGAGCAAAGACCCCAGCAAGCAAACCCCAAAGCCGAAGCTCCTCAGCTGCCCTGT